AAAGGCGATCATCTGTCGAGAAAATTCATAACCGAACGTTCTAATTGGGGGTATGTGAACAACTTTGTACACCCGGAATGAGTGAACTACGTTTTATAAACTGTGTGATGAGTAATTATGAACAAATGATAATGAAATAAAAAAATGTTGGTATACACTGTTGTAAATAATAAATAGATTGTACGTTGTATTCGCGATAAAGAGTCTCATTCAATCTTCAAGAATTTCTCATACTTCAATGATATTTATTTGAGAATCCGTCATCACCTCCAGGGATCGGCATCACTCATTACTTTCGCAATAAAATCGCACCCCGAATTTCTAAATACTTTCTTCCAGTCCTCCCTCGGAAATCTAGATTAATTAAATATTAAATAACATAATTGTTAATTGATAATTATAACATTGCTTGATTTCCCTTCCAGTGCAATTAGTATTGAAGGATTAGGATTCGGATTATTACCAATAATATTAACAAGGATATTTACCAAGGATTATTTATCATTTCTATCGGAATAATAACTTTAAATTATCACTTCAATAAAATAATTTTCGAGTCCATTACGAGGGGATTAATATCGGGATAATTTAATTTTGCAATTATGTCGAGTGCAGATTACCTGTGGGTTCCAGTATTTTACCTGCGGAAGGTGCGCAGGTACTGAAAGGTCAGGATTAGATACAAAAGGTAATAACACTTACACGCCCGTTCGAACTGCTCCTGAAATTACTGTACATACCATAAACAAAAGGTAAATAAACAAGACAATAAATCAGGCATCCCTGCCACTGCCTCTTCACTTCTACCGCAATTCTTGAAATTTTTGTAAATAGAAAGGCTCAACAAAAGGTTTGACATACATCCTATCAACGGCAATAAATGGATTACATTTTTTTAAATTCTATAAATTTATAAACTATTAAAAATCGTAATGTTCCACCACAAAGAGGGATTCTAATAAAAAGTACTTACAATTTTACAATTTCATAATTGCAGTTTAAAATAAATATTTTCTTGCGCTGCAGATGAATTATTTAGAAAGGAATCATAGAGAATTATAGAAAAAGAGATTTTTAAATTATTTCCTTTCATTTTTTCTCAGTTGAGTTTTGTTTTTCAGATATCGCATCATTAATCAGTTTTTAATTACGAACATCGAGGAATCCCACACCAAAAATTACCGATAATTCACCGGAATGGGATAAAATACCGGTTTTTTCCTGAAACCAACAACGGATAAACGATTCTTACCTGCAACCGATGATACAAGCCACCGGTAAGGTAGATTCCACACAGCGAGACAAATTTCGCATGTTTATTCCGATTAAATTACGTAAATAATACGCAAGCGTCATGCCAATATTGAACTTCGCCCATGCGTTCTACAGATCAGCTGATAATTCCTAACAATGCGTCAGGCAATCTTAATTGACCTAATCATTACTGATAATGAAAAAAAACTAGTTCATACCTGTCTGAACCGTGCGTAAACAGGTTGAAACTTGTGAAACACCTCTTCAAACACGATCCCGTAAAAAAACCTGAATCTTGGACAAACAAGTGAGTCACCGAGAGTTGGGGTATCCCTCAACTCCAGGCGTAAACACTTTACCTGTAAAGGGCGCGGAACTCCCTGGGGGTCGAATTTACGTGCACAACATTTTACCTGGTCCTTAGATACCGGCTTATGACCCGGAAATGATACCACCTTAAACCCTGTTCAAATAACTTCTGGAATAACTATTCATAATCGTCAAAAACAGGATAATAAGTCAATGACCAGCACCTGCCCCTCCACTTTTACTCTAATTCCATTTATTTTAAGGAAAATAATTAGTAAAATAAATATTTTACAATCATATTTTACGGTTTCTTGTTTGAAATCTTATCAGTGAAAATACGTCAGAAAAATGATGAAGAAAGCGTGAATTGGAAAATTGGCGCTTATCAAATTTGGGAATCAAATCGAGATCGTTAAATTTGAAAAAAAATAGTGGATAGTTAGTGGCATTAAGAGTGGCATTTTGCAATGTGTCATTCTCCGAGACTTTGTTTTCGACACGTAAATAAAACTGTAAATTTTGGGGTATTTTTTGGCATATAATCAATTTTCCGTGAAGTTCTGAATGTAGCTAAATTAACCACCAAGAAGTGGTTTCCAATAAATCAACTTTAATGGATAGCGAATGATTAATGAATGGAAATCTAGTCTTCAAAAAACTGGAACTTCTTAATTGCTCGATATCCTTCTCCAATAATATATTATCATTTTGTAATTATAAAATGAAAACTCAAGTTTATAACTTCCACAGTTTACATAATAATATCCTCGAAAAATATCCGAGAGCTCGAACTCAAGTTCAAATAAAAGCCCCGCCAATGCCGAAAAATCTAGAAAAGCACTGAAAGCTGAAAAAATGACAAAAATACTTGAATTCCCCAAGTCGAACCTCCCACTACATCATCAACTTGCATTCCTTTGCAATCTCCCTAATATA